CCCTGCTTAGTCACAAGTGTTACAACCCAGTTTCTATATTCTAAAAGTATTGCCCTGCAAAGAAAAGAGAAGACATTCTTAAATAGAAGAACCCTAGTTTATGTTAGTCTCTGTTGCCATGGGGTTGAGTTCAACTGTAGGCAGATGTAGGGTTTTTTTTTAAATTAAAAAAAATTTTTTCAAGCTGTGTACAGCAGTGGACGAAGATTACACCATGTTTGTGTTGCAGTGTTGCTATGGAAGTGCATATGGTTTTATTTGGTAGAAATTTGCAGAGAAATCAAAGGAAGTCATATGTACGCATGACAAAAGTGAAGTTTCAGACGACAAACAAATACCGGAATCGAGAGCTCTTGACAATAACTTAAAACCTGGAACACGGCTGTGTGGGTGCTGCTCTACCTGCATGGGCTCTGACCCAGGAGGCAGAGGTTCTGGAGTCGGAGAGTCAAGGATTTAATCAGTTCTGCCACTTAACTAGTGCTGTGAGTTACTTGGGTGAGTTACTCAGCCGTGGTTGACTTTTGCTTTCCTCATCTTGGAAACAGGGCGCCATGACCCCTACCTTGCACTGTTGGTGCTGAGAGGAAACAAGATAGGTCTTGAGCACTGCACACAGTAACTGCTCAATAAATGGTTGCCATCGTTCTGGAGGGGTGATTGCGGTCCCATTAAGCTCCAAGAGTGTGGGCTCATTCACCAAACTATCTGTGGAGACTTAAGGCTTGGAAAATCAAGAATGTTTAGTGCTGGCCAAGCTTTGTTTTGTGGACAGTTGTCATCTGACTGGACCATCACTGAGAAGTATGGACTTCAGCTGTCAAAGGAATTGAAAGGTGGTCTGGTGCAGGGTGGAAACAAGCCGGTGACACTTGCCAGGTGGAGCGGTGTGGCCTCTCAGCATCTGGCTCCGATCCCCCCAGTCCGTGCTGCCTGCAGCTGTCTAGCCCCTCCTAGGCTTCAACACCTCTGAGAGATCAGAAAACTCATCTCCAACGGATTCAAACCTGAACACTTTTGGAGGGCTGGATAATGATTGTAACTGTCACATTTTAAAATCTTCTTTGAAATCTTCAAGTTAATTCATGTAGATTGAAATCTGCTGGAGAAGAACTCTGCATCCACTTTTTGTGTGGCTTGCATTTTGAAAGTTTCACAGACCTGTTGGAATGTTGTCTGCCCCACCCTCACCCCAGCCCCCCTCTCTAGTGCACACAGCAGAGGTTGGCAGAACACTCAGAGCTTATGCTAACCTCGATCAAGTTACTGGATCTGTCTGGGGCTCTGTTTTCTGATCTGGAAAATGAAGATGCTGGATTAGGTGATTTCTGAGGTCCTTCTAGATTTAAATGACTCTGTCATTCATCTATCTTGAATAGAAGAGGTCTTTCAGTATTCTAGATGTTCTAATGAACCTACACTAAAAAACAATGAGAAAAAAGTCTATATCCTCTCTCAACTTGGTGTTCTATTTTCTCATAGCCCCTTGAAGGGCCATCAAAAATAACCATCCAAAATAAACCAGCTCATCCACACATTCCGTAGGCCTGCCTGTCTTCCTTGCCCCAAACTGGAACCTCCACAACTGGACAAACTGTCCCTCACCCTGCCAGGGCTGATTGAATGGACTTCTGTCTTTGTGTCTGCTTTTCCAAAACCTTCATTATAACTCAAGTCACTTTTTTTTTCAAGTCACTTTTAAAAACTAATAAACAGTCAATTTTGTTTCTAAACTACAAGCCATATAACTTTGTTATCTTTCTGTGTATAATTTAAATGAAGTTTTAATTTTTTTTCCTGGCAAAATTAAAGGACAAATGTTTACTCATTTGATTACATAATAGAATGGTCAAGGTGTATGTTTAGCTAGGGACTATGCTATGTAAATCTCTTTTTATATATGTATTATTGCTAGAACCCTAAACAATGAAAAAAGTGTCTCCACAAATGGCTAATGTACCAGTCTTTTCATTAGTGCAACAGACACTGCCAATTACATTGAGGACATGGGACATAGCGTGGTTAGCTGGCCAATGATGTCAACTGTGTATCCAGTGATAGGATTACTGACGACTTTCAAAGCCCATAACTTTCCCCCTTCCTTTTGCCCCCAACGATTTTGATCCTGGGTTACACGTTGGCTGAGGCACGGGAATGAAAGTCAGCTCACCTGGCGCTGTTCCAGCGGTGTTGTTGGCCAGCTGTGTGACCTGGAACAAGCTTTGGCCCTTTCTGGACCCAGGTTTCCTCATCTGTAAAGCGAAGGACTGGGGCTTGGGCCATCACTAAGGTACGTCCCTCCACTAACAGCCAAGGATTCTGCTGTCCTGAGCCCAGAGAGGTTATCTGCTGCCAGCTACTGTTGACTCTTGGAACTTCTATTCACATAAGGCTGGTTCTCAGACTCTTAGCAGCTCTAAAAATCCTTGGCCCTTGCACTCCACACTGTCCTTCCAGGAATCAGGACTGAAACTTTTGCTCAGACTTGGGTTCAAAACCCCTGAGTCAATAAGAACCTCCTCCCTTTTCAAGACTAATTTAAGAACTAAAGCCCTTCCCAGGGTAGGTAGGGCGTATTTGCTGTGTGTTTGTTCTGTCACCTGGCTTTGCTTATCATCTGTTCAATCATTCGGGTGAACATTCCATTTTCCTTTTTTTTTGCCTTCTTCAGATTCCAGCCAGCTGAGCTTGTGGGCTACTATGAAAACCCTCCCTGTGGGCATTTCTCATCTCTCTTCTCTTTTTAAAGATGTTTCCAGGAAGGGATGTGATATAATTTTTGTGGACTAGAGCCAAACAGGGTGGTATTTAATGACCCAGGAGTGGCCTCCACTGGTCTCCTGGGCCAGAGAAACGGCAGGCCCTGGTGATGTGTCCTGAGAGCTGGCGCTGGCCTCGGCCGACCGTCCCCGGCCCTGACCAGCTGTGAGAGCACGTGGTCTCCACTGCAGCTTCTCCTCTGGTCTGCAGTGCGTCTCAAACACCTTTCAGATGATGCTAGGTTGAAAAGCCACTGGAGAGCAACACACCTTATACTCTTCTGATCATCAAAGAAAATCTTCATAAAGCATTTAAATGGAATATTATTTTTGGACTTGGATGAGATTTCTTTTCAACTTCTCCCAAGTTCTTCGTTTCCTATGCTTATTCTGTCTTCCTTTTCTCTCCTTTCACATCCTAAGTGAAAGCGGGGGGATGAATTTCGGATGACCTTGGGTTTCCTGTAGCTTTTTTTGCTGTGAAAATAACTGAATGAGCTGATGACGAGTTGGAAAGGCTACCAGGCAGCCACGATAATTATTCATTACAGGTTGGCATGGAAAACAGAAAAGTGGTCTTTGGGGGCCCGTGCAATGAAACCTTCTGCGAGAAGGCCCACATGGGGAGGCGTGCATCCAGCCAAAGCAAGAAGCACAGTGCTGTTCTGGTGAAACAGTCTGCCATAGGGCACATTTTTGCCTCCCCCACTTCTGCTGGACCCAGGGCAGGCAGCGTGTAGCGCTCGGGAAAGGCCTTTCTGGGAGGGCGAACCACAAGAATGCAGCCCTGCGTGTTGCCTCCTGAGCCAATCAGGGCAGCGATGACTGGCCCCACACGAATGTGCAGATTGGTTTCGCTGCTTAACGGCTCATATCTGGGAATAGATACTCCTGTCGTTGCCAGGCTGGGGTGGGGGAGGGGTGAGGTTGGGGGCTGATATGACAGTCCGGGATTTGAAATCCCTACGTGGGCAGCCCGAGTGGGACAGTGCGTCCAGCTTTGCCCTGTTGTACAGTTGCTCCCGCCCTGTGTGTACAGTTCCTTTCCCAAACCGGTATTTTGTCCTGAGTCTTAGGACACAAGAGAGCAAACAAACAGATGGAAGACATTAGCTCCAACTCTTTTCTGAGGCCCTTTGCCGATATTAGTTAAAGCTGCTCTGCTCTTTGCTTGGAAGTAGTGTTGACTCCACTTTCAAAGTAACATTTGCGAAGGGAATGCACACCAGTGCTTTG